GGGTTAATCCTCTGCATTGTGTAAAAAGGCTATTTGATCCTTTCTTCTCTGTTCCTTCTCTTTTTCAAGTGACCACCACTTATCTCCAGACTGAACCGTAGGCATGCACATGCTCAGTTTGGTGTGTATTGCTAGAGAGGTTTTTTTTTTTTTTTTTTTCTTGGGAGAGTGTATGTGATCAGCACAGGGCCAATCAGCACTGTCCAGACAAAGGTAAGGTGGATTTGTATCTTCCTAGAGCAGAAATAAAACTCCTCCTACAAGCTTTAGCTAGTGCTGGGCTGAACACAGATAGAAGTCACAAGACTGCTCTAACTGCTGCTGAGAAAAGGTATTTAGCAGTTTATATTTACTAAAATAATTGCATTTCCATGTTGTGTGTACTGTGGGAGACCAAATATAGTGAATGCAGTAACACTTTAAAAAACTGCTAGTGTGCATGGAGCTTGAGGGTAAGGGGTATGTAGAGTGCTGCAGGCACTTCAGAATTTGTAACCTCAGTACTGTAAAGCATACAAAGTTATATGAATATAAAAGGGACGGAGAAGATGTTGCTAGTACTGGGAGAGGCAGTAATGATCAGGACAGTTTTTCTAATCACCTCTTTTACTCTGACAGCAGCTGTAGGCACTGAGGTTGATCTACTAAAGACAAATAGGCTGTGCACTTTGCAAAGTGCAGTTGCTCCAGAGCTTAGTAAATGAGGTAAACTCTCACTTTGCAAAGAATACCCAATCACATGCAAGGAAAATAAAAAATAAAAAAAACAGCATTTTTGCTTGCTGGTGATTGGATGATGGAAGTCAGCAGGACTTCTGCTTATTTACTAACCTCTGGAGCAACTGCCCTCGCAAAGTGAGATTGCATTTTGCAAAGTGCACAGCATACTTTTCTTTAGTAAATCAACCCAATTGTCAGAGATCCATAGACATAAGATGATTGATTGATCTGTCTTAGAAAGGCAGATTGAAAAGCTGTCATTTGGTGTTCCTGAGTATAGATTAGACTGTTATAGACATCCTCAACCCCCTACTTTTGGGGAAAACGCTTATTATCAAACTGTGCTGTTGAAAAGGTCTACTGTTCAGATTTATGTGTCTGTTCTAAAACTGACTGATCAATCCAGATCTTTAGCAGATTTGAAATACACACACATATTATATGTGATATGATAGGTTGTAATATTTGGTATTTCAGCAATATTTGTCTTTTTTATGACGTGATATCTTGGTCTGTCTTGGTTATCATTGTCGTTGGGACAAAAAAAAAAAAAAAATACAGGAAATCGAACATTTTATAGTTCTCACTGTAACAGGTATAAAGGGGTTTTGGAGGCAAAGGTGTAGTCACAGCCTAATTTCAAACACCAGGGGAACCTTTGATAAACTGTCAGCTACTATGGTCATTCTTTTTTTGCACATATCTCTAGAGAATTATGAATGAGAATATTGCCATGATTAATCAATATATTTGTTCTGTTTATCCAAGCAATAGGTTTGTTTTTTTTAACTACGTTTCTTATCTTTGTTAACTTTTAACCAGAGTTCATGGATCATGTATGTAGACAGTGATAGATGTAAATGAATACCTGGAGCCACTAGATTCTAACTTGGAAAACAACATGGTTACAAGCCACCTAGCAGTTCAAAGAATTGTCTTATAGTTTCCTTGGGGGTTAAATGTCCATTACATTTACCTATACAGTTTTTAAAATATTTATTGTAGAGTTGCACTGTTTCTTTATCGGTGAGTATCCCACTATAGAAAGACAGGGAATAAACATGAAGTGCAGCAGGTAGGAAGTTCTGGGACCCCTGTGGGTATAGGGCAGAAGCAGGGGTGTCCCTAGGCAGGTGTGGAGGGTGCGCGCCGCACCGGGTGACACCTATTGCCCAGGTTGACACCGGACCCGCTCCACGAAAAGGTAAGTTGTAAATAAAGCCGACAAACCCCGCAGGATGGATCGGATCTGCGGATTGAGCATAATGGATCGGAGTCCAATCCATTATCCTCCCCAATCCGCAGATCCGATCCATCCTGCGGGATCGTCGGCTTGCTTTAAAACTTACCTTTTCGTGGAGAGATCAGTTAACCCCATATAGGTTGCAAGCCGACGATCCCCGAAGGATGGATTGGATATGCAGATTGGGGAGGATAATGGATCAGACTCCAATCCATTATGCTCAATCCGCAGATCCGATTCATCCTGTGGGGATCGTCGGAGGGGGTGTCACTAAGTGTTACCGCACTGGGTGACACCAACTCTAGGGACGCCCCTGGGAGGAAGTGACTGCCTACATGTCTCTTCCAGCCCTGTAAGCACCACCAGCAGCTGGTTTTGGATTTGACATGCAAGATATTAAGCACTTTTCACTTTGTGAGTTGTGATAACATTTTACCTGTTTGTATGCCCATTGCTGCACTTCATGTTGCTTCTCTGTCTTTCTATAGTGGAATGGATCAAACAGGAGCATTGGGTTAAATCACATGCGATTGGGACAGGAATTGCAGTACATTCCCATTCAAATTGCATGTGATTCTTTGCAGTGCGATTTGAGCCCACGCTTTTTCTATGGGCTCAAATTGCACAGCAAAGGTATTGGTTTTTAGGTATCAGGAGCATTTGCACAAGTACAATTACTTGTACAAGTGCTCGGTATTGGCACCGATACGATTTCGGTATTGATGCAACCCTAACTTATTGTACTATCTCCATCTTCTTTTACTGTACAAATGTTGAACAAAGTTTTGTTGGTATACTAGCTGGGAAAATGTGTTAAAGTCTAAGGCTCCATGTACACTGGAACATTTATTCTACTGGCAGCAGAAAAAAAACTAAAACGTGGTAAAAACGTGTGTAAATGCAGTAATGTGTTTAAACCTGTTTTTAAACATGGTTAGTGCTTAGGTGCGTTTTAGCCGCATTTAGCATTTTTTGGTCAAACGTTCCTCTCCTGAAAGTGATTCTTCTGTGTTCAGGAGAGAGATGTTTACCTGCCCCTAAACTTTGCTGCTAAACGCCGATAAAAGCCTATGTGTATATGGACACATAGGCTTTTACTGAGTTGAGTTCAGGGGCTTTGGAAAAAAAAAAAACGCCAAAAGCTCCTACACTCATGTTTAGGAGCAACAGTGTGCATGCAGCCTAACTTAACTTATGGCTCAAAAAAAAGGCACAAAGGGGTCATTGAAAGAAGAAGATACATGAAATTGTGTAAAAGTAAGAAAAGTCCCACCTCTGTCATTATTATTATTATACAGGATTTATATAGCGCCAACAGCTTGCGCTGCGCTTTACAAAATGAAGGTAGACATTACAATTACAATACAATTTGGTACAAGAGGAAACAGAGGACCCTGCTCATTAGAGCTTACAATCTAGGAATTAATTTTATATGTAATGATTCCAGATTTGGAAACGGCATTTATTTTATCGCTAAACTTTATGCCTTCATTTCTCATGGTTTATTTTCTCCTAATAAAAAACTATTGAATGTAAAAAAAAAAAAGGTGTTATAACAATATTTTTTATTTTCATTTTTTTTAAACTTTTGTGGGAACTTTTGTTCAAACAAATAAAAACGTAGGAATATAGAGGTTGGTTTAATAAAATAAAATTGACTGTTAATTTTGCAAGGGAATTTCCCTTAATTAATGAGGTGAAGCTCAGATGATCTCCATCCCACACCACCTTAATAGTAGCATTTGCCCCTGGGCAAAGTAATGTACTGAAATCCTTATCATGGAGATGGTGACCTGTGGCATGGGGTAGAACAGTCGATGTGGCTAAATTATGCTACATATTGGGCTTGGCTTTTTAGTCAAGTTAGAAATTTTAGTCAGATTTGTTTTTTAATTTTAAATAATTTTTTACATTTTTTTTCACAATGATGGTGTGAAACTGACCTCTGAAGTCTCACTTTTGAGACAGAGAAAGGGACTGACGAAACACATTCCCCAGTTCCCTTCTGCAGTCTCAGTTGCACTGCAGATGAATGAACAGCAAACGAAGCCTCCTGTTCATTCACAAATGGAAGCATAGCAAAAAACAGTTTACTATGCTTCAGTTAAAAAGTAACACAATGAGTTATCAATACCGATCATTAATTGTGTATGAGCCTCCTGTTCATTCACAAACGGAAGCATAGCAAACACAGTTTACTATGCTTCAGTTATAAATGAACACAATGAGTGATCAGTACTACCGATCATTTTTTGTGTTAATTTATCTTCATTTTTAAAGGAAGGGGGCGGAAAATTACATATTTACCAGCTTCTTCCCCCGCTCTCCATCCTGAAGAACCCCTGTGTGCCTGCAGCTGCTGGTGAGAGAGGAGGGAATCTGGCAGTGCTGGGGGAACACACAGGAGGGCCTAGGCAGCATTGGCAATCCAATAGTGGACAGGAGAGGGTGATCAGTGTGGTGGGTGGGGGAATTTACTGGAACTAATCTTTTGTGGCTTACCCAGTAGCAGCCGAAAGCTGGTGGGAGGGAGAATATGTTGGCTTTCAGCCAATGCAGTGAGAGCCAAAGAAGATCAATTCCAGTTATTTTGCCCACCTGCGCTCAGATCACCCGTACCTGTCCATATGCGATTCCATGTGCTGGGGAGGGGGACTGCAGGGGCTCCCCTTGCACCTGGGGCCTGTGCGATAAGACGGCCCTGCTTCCATCATTGAGTCATATGCAAGGAACAATAATTTATTTTTTCATTTTCCTTGCACGATTGGAATTTTTTGTAAAATGGATTTTCAGCAGATTCACTAAGCTAAAGGAACACCCCCCAGCAAACTGAAATTCTCTGGTAAAGTGAAAAGTCTATTTGCCTTTAGTAATTCAAGCCCACATAGTTTTTAGGTTCACCTTACAGACTTTTCAAACTGACCTCCAGATTAGTACATCTCCATTTAGCCCCCTACTGACCTAACTTACTACCGACATTTAAATGTAATCATAAGAGCATGATTTTTAACATTATTATCATCATTGCTTTACTTACTTGTTTTAGCAGCTTCCTCCCTTCCAAGTTTAATAAAAGCATATCTTGGACTTTCTGGGCAAAAGAAGAGTAATATAGTTTGAATAACTGCTGGTACACCAGAAAGTCCCAAGAGAACAGGCCATAGTTTTTCACTGCCCAGGATAAATTCTAGTCCAACAACCTAAGAAAAAAACAATACAATTATTATGTCTACATCAACATGACAGTCACTTTTGCTTATTCAGTATTGATCCTAAATTCACACTTATGTTAACTTCAGTGCATTTTCCAGTTTAGAGAAACAGTCCATTTGCACTACAGTCCATTTAACATGATTTCCTATGGATCTAGTAGTTCACACCTGTGCATTTTGAGCCACTGCAGATTTTTTGAAAGGGTCATGGATTTTATTCCCTCAGCAGATTGCGTTTTCCCTGTAATAGACTTCCATGGAACCACATCAAAAACACCTCCCCCTAGCAACATAAACACATCCCAAAAAACGCATAAAAAATACATTACAAACGTGTCAAAACACGTGGAAAAAGATACCAAATGCACCAGAAAGATGCATCAACCGCAACCAGCATAAGTGTTAACCTAGCCTAAAGCTGCAGCCAGATATAATTTCAATGTATGCAGTTGAATGTTTGACTTATGTTTGTATGTTACGTGTTCCCTATATACAAATACATACTTTTGTAGCAATTAATAAGGAAGGGAGGGAGGGAGGGGTGGGTGGAAGGAAGGCAGGGAGGTGTGGTTCAAAGGAAGGGAGGAAAGAAGGGAGGGGTGGGTGGAAGGAAGAAAGGGGTGGGTGAAAGGAAGGGAGGGGGGGTGGGTGAAAGGAAGGGAGGGGGGGGTGGGTGAAAGGAAGGGAGGGAGGGGTGGAAGGAACTGAGGTGGGACTTACATCACTCAGTCAGATGCATCAGAGCTGTCGGCTGCTGTGTCTTCAGTTTCCCGCCCACACCTTCTCTGAAGCTGCTCGGACTGGAGCAGAGCAGATCTCTCTCTCCCCTCCTCTCCTATTGGTGCGCAGGATGGAGGGAGGGGCTGGGCAGTGAGAAGAACATAGCGGCGATGGGAAGGCCAGAAAGAAAACTGAACCGTCAGGTATGTTCTGTGCAGCTCCCGGTGGGGGAGGTGACAAGCAGCGATCTCCTGGCTTTCAATGAAGTAGCTGGAGGCCGCATCTCTCCCTCCTGCGGCTCTCAGCTGCTTCATTGAAAGCCATACAGGAAATTGCTGCTTGTCACTGCCCCCACCGCCATCCCTCCCACACACCTCTAGACCCGGCGCTGCTCACCACCCCCACCTTATTTCCACTTGCGGGCGAGTGGATCAAAGGCTGCAGCAATGGTTGGCAACTCTCCTCTGGGGGGGTTCAGACCCCCCTGACCCCCCTTATCTATGCCCCTGTATCTATGTGGTATTTCACTCACTTTGGAGAGATTTCCCTTCATCTCCTGTTGCACCTAATGTACAGGAAATGAAGAGAAATCTCCCATAGACCCAAACTTCCCAGAATTGCCAGGAAGTTCCCCCATCTTTGTCTTCTGTCCCAGTGACACTGTGTCCCGAGATCACAGCAACACCCTTATCTGGATTATTGAGAAATCTGCAGTAACACATAATGGGTATTAGCCAAGGGGATTGCAGCTGGGACCAGGTTTTTGCTATACATATTCTTTAACTGTTATGTCATGCATTGTTCTCAATAAATACATATTCTGTGAATTATGGATAAAATAAAAGGTCCAGGGGATCAGAAAAATGGTATATTGCACCTATCAGTTTTTAGGCCTCGTTCACACCATACGTGCAGGAAAACTGATGGAAACTGATGCACAGATTTCACTTGCAGAGACATCAGTTTACATCAGTTTTCATGCGTGTTTCAATGAGTTTTACACACATTGCAGGTTCCTGCGCAGAAAAAATCTGCACATGATACTAGTGTTGTGGTGTGAACAGGGCACATAGGGAACAATTTTGCTGTGCCCTTGCAGAACACATGCAGAAAAACTGACGTCTCTGCACCATGGTGTGAATGAGCCCTTAAACTACCAGAGTGGCTAGAAATGAAAGCTCCAGGGAAGTCTTGCATGATTGTTGCTAATAATTACCCACCTTACTTTTCCTAACGTCCATGTGGCTAACAGACTTTTTATCCATATTAAGTATGTCTAGGCTGAAATGCTATAGTATGTATTACAAACATTGTGCTCTAGATACATTACATTAGATCAATGAGACAACTCAATGAAATCTTCAAATTTTAGGTTTGATTAAAAACCATGCTGAATTCCTATATTTTAGTTTGGAACCAACCACTAACCCAGCGACTGCATACCAATAATCTACCACACTGTGTTGATGAATTGTACATACATTTAAAATTAAGAGAACCTTGTGAGTCTAGCTGAGGGAGACTGGGTCATTCATTGTGCTCTTATGGGAGGGGACAGAGTTGGTGATTAACTGAACTGAACAGTTATTAGTGGACTTGTTTTTAACTATGTGAAATGATAATGAGAACTGTGAGGGTAGGTAAGAATTGTATGGGTAATTTGAACAGGTCTGCTCTAACTCATTTTTAGTTTACAGTAGAATAGCTTACCCATTCTATTATTTTATTAGGGTTCAGCAGCATTGAAAAGTATAGGTTACAGCTTACAAACCTTTAAAAAACACTTGCTATAGTGTAGGTAGATAAAAACTCATCTATCTTCAAGCCTTCATCTAGTGCAGCCATGCATTTGCTTATGTCTCATTAATCAGGACAAACACAGACTACATGTAATGAACTTGTACAGTGCAGTCAATCTGCTTAGCTAATGCAAGTTTATAATCATTTATATGTTGTACAAATATATATTCAGTCAGCTGCTTACAGAACATGATTTACTTGGTGTGATATGTTATGATAGTATATTATCTCCAGGAAAGAACTAAACAAATCTACAGGATCAGGTGTGGACATGCACAACAAATTGGAAACTTAAGGCCATATATTGCCAATTGTGATATATCTGGATAAGATGAGATTCCACATTGTATGGTGGACAGTATAAACATCAGTACAATAGACACATACAGTGGCAGCAGTGAACCATGCATGAGACAGGGACACCAAAAACAGTCCACACAGGTTTGACCTTCATTTTTATGCAGCAATGCAATAAATAAACACAGTTCCGCACAGGAAGGCTTGTACAGCAAGTCCATACCATAAAACAAATAAGACATCTGCTTATTCAAGCAACAAACTCATATCTGCCCCCACATGGGTTCCCTAACACATGTACCCAGTGTTGGGACAAAGTCATCCAGTGCCCAGAGAAAGAATGCAAAAATGTCTTCTCTCCTCTATGATGTACATGCACAACTGTCCTACCTGTACCTGACCAGGGGTGGACTGACCATTTGGAAATTCGGGCACTGCCTGAGGGCCTGGGGTCAGTAGCGGGCCCCATGAGATGACCCTGGTACCTTTTGCATAGGCTTTTTTGAGTTTGGGCAAGGACACAGGGGCCCCATGATCCCTATTGCCCGGGGGCCCCATGAGTTGTCAGTCCGCCCCTGTACCTGACGTATGTATTTGAATGTCTACCCACATACAGAGTGGAAGGATTGCATATATATAAGATACAGACTGCAGGGGTGTGTGACGCAGGGAGAGTGTAATACAGGGGTTAGAAATGTATATTGTTCAGAGATCAGAGGTCAAGACTATGAAGTGTACAGAGTTCAGGGGTCAGGAGTATGCAACATACATAGTGCTGGGATCAGGAATGTGCAATGTACAGATTGCAGGGGTCAGGAGTGCAAAACGTACAGCATGCAGGGATCTTGTGTATGTACTGTATAGAGTGCAGGAGTCAAGAATAAAAGTAACATACAGAGTGAACAGTTTAGCTGTAAATGTACCATAGAGAGCACAGGGGTCAGCAGTAAACGTATAATACAGCCCAATGAACAGAGTGTAGGCATCAGGAGTATATAATGTACATTGTGCTGGCCTCAGAAGTGTGTAATGTACAGTGTGCAGGGGTTGGTGTAAGTAATATATAGAATGCAGGGTCAGGATGTGTAACATTCAGAATGCAGAGGTCAAGAGTGAGCAAAAGTAACATACAGAGTGAACAGGTCATATGGAAAATCAACATACAGAGTGCAGAAGTAAAAGTAATGTACAACCCACAGAAAAGTGTTGGGGTCAAGATAATGCAGGGGTCAGGAGTATATACATTCTAGTGTGCAGTACCCCTTATGATTCAGTTCACAGCCTTTGTTCATAGCACAGCTGTACCCCCAATAAGGCATTTTGACAACACACACACACCTACATACAAAAACATCCACCTACATACTCTTATACATATGCACACACAAACACACGTACACAAATACATACACTCACATATAGATACAGTTACCTTAACACACATAGGTTGATTTACTAAAACTGGAGAGTTCAAAATCTGGTGCAACTGCACATAGAAATCAATCAGCTTTCAGGTTTTGTTATCAAAGCTTCATTGAACAAGCTGAAGTTAGAAGATGATTGGCTGAAATACACAGCTGCACCAGATTTTGCACTCTCCAGTTTTAGTAAAACCACCTCATAGATACACTGACACATACATGTATACACTTACTGGGGCATCTCAATAAATTAGAATATCATCAAAAAGTTAATTTTTTGATAGCCGAGAGTTTCACCTGCATGTGGTGCCCCCCGCCCCCCTTCCCCATATGAAAACCCTGCACCCAGGGCAGCTGCTCCTTTTGCCCACTTCCCTTGTCCCAGCCCTGCATGCTGTTTCACCAAGCAGCAGGCACCCACAGCAGAAAGAGTAAGAGAGAGAGCCTCTAGCATAGGTCAGCTCAGATATGAAAAGGCGTGTGGACAGCTAAGACTCATATCTAGTTCTGGCTAACAGGTAAGACATAGACTAGGAACTGGAGGCTTTATCCTACCCAGAATTCTACAAAGGCTCCAGGCCATGGAACACAAGTTATTAGGATCTGAGAAACATATTTTTTCTTTATTGCATACATACCCACATGGAAGAAAAATATATTTTAAATATATTTTAAAAATATTGTTCCCAAATATATTGACATGTATTTGAAAATACTACAATTTTGGCCATATTCAATATATTTCAAATATATATTTAAATAAAATATATATATTATATATATTCTATGTTGAAATGTTTTTATTAAAAAATATATGAAATATTTTTAAAAATACATATTCAAATATACTGCATGCCTTTAAAAATACATTTAATCTACATTTTTGGAATGCATTTACAAATATATGTAAAAATATATGTTAAAATGACTTTTATGTGTTTAAAAAAAAAATCTGAAAAATATATTTAAAAATATTTTTCATATATTCTGTAATTTAAATAAATATATTGTAGTATTTCAAATATATATAAATATATTTGGGAAGAATATTTTTAAAATATATTTCAAATACATTTTTCTTCCATGTGGGTAAACCTTGGATCCCCTCACCACGTGTAAGTGAGAAACCCAGGTGACACGTATATATCATCCACAATCCAGCCAGTCATTGCCTCACAATATATATTTATCATATAGCTAGTTCAGTTGGTGACGCATACCTGACTGATAAGAATTCCCGTGACAATACCAAGCTGATGCAGGGTACCCAGAGCTCCTCTTAGTGCTGTTGGAGAAACCTCCCCAATATAGATAGGCACAAGTCCTGCTGTTAGTCCTAGAAAAATACGAGAGAGCACAAAGCCACTTTTTAAATTAATAGTTTTTTTTTTGTTTTTGGTTTTTAAATGAGAAAATCAGCAAATCAGTAAATAAAGGGCTTCATGAATAAACATATCTGAAAAGAAAATCATAGGTTAACACTTATCTCCTCTATATGACAAAAAATGTTGACAATGGAGCTCTCAGACATATGCATGCATGTATGTCCCAGCTTACTGAATAAATACTTGGTGTTTAATGGAGAAAAATACCCCCTGACAGGTTGTCAGTGAAGTACTCCTGTTACACTGGTGGTTAGTGATGTGCCTCCATGTACACTAGTGGTCCATGTGGCCCCACTTACTTCAGTAATATAAATGATGAATATTGAAATGCCGTTTTACTTTGTTGGTCAGTATTGTGCCCTCCTACATTGATGGTTAGCATCAGAGATGTGTACCCTTACATTGGTTGTCAGTGAAATCTTGGCTAATAGATCATCAGTGTACTTTCCTGAAAGAGAAGAAGCTATGCTGATCCTGCAGTGCTGGCTGTGGCTACACTGAGTAACATTGATGCTGGAACTGTCCAGCAGGAGATCATTTCACCCAGGTCCTTCTGCACAGTAGTTGGATGCTACTACAGCAGAATCACCAAGCAGGAGACCTGAGATCATCCTTGATTTGCCTGCAACTGGGTACACCGCTCCTACTGCCACAACACTTTTGGTTGATATTCGGCACAACAAACAATCCATATTTTTACTATAAAACAGTTTATTCACTGTAAGAAAAATAAAAATAAATGGTATTCAAAAAATTTATATCGAGGACTATTATTTCCGTATTATGGAAATCAACTTTCAGTATTCTCTTTTGTCCTGAACTTCTTTGGAAAGTCTTATAAACAAGGGCAGTACTGAATAATTTAATGTTAAATGCTAGTGTCGGGGGCATTGTTCAAACAAGAGGTAAGAGGCATCATGTGGTGAATCTGAAAGTGAAGTGATTCAATAAACAACACAATGTCCTTGCTCTTTACTCATATAATGTTTTGGGAGAGCAGTTATAGCACCCATCTGCTGTCCTTTGTTTTAAGTGTTGGACCATAGAAATATATGGAGAATTTCCACCATTCTGCCTTAGAAGGGCAGAGCAGAGGAAGCATAGGCATTCTAATGCAGTGCATTAATTACAGCACAAAAATGGTAAAAGGCTTTGCAAATTGTTGTGGGTAAGCATTTGGATTCAAATGATTTCTCCTCAAACTATAAACATTTACACTCCAATAATTAATTTTGGCACAAATACATATAAAATAATACAGAGAACAAAACCAGCCTCTGAGAGACTGCTAACATATGCTGAAAATGCCAATAAAATGTCTACATATGGTCTCACTTACCGCAGTAAAGCCCAGTTATAAGTCTGCCAGCAATAACTAAAGCATGAGCTTGACCTAGTGGAGCCAACCCCATCAGAAGTGCTCCAATAACTGCCAGAGAATTCACGGCCATCATAGCTTTGATCCTAAAAGTTAGAAGCAAAGTTGAAATCAGGTTTCTTTTATTGGGGTCAGAATATTAAAGTATTAACAATGTAATAAACCTGTTTCACAGGTAGCATGGCTAATAAATCATGGTGTGCTACAGACATGTCTTCCAAATATTTCTCAGTCTTAAATAGCGATGAGCGAACTGAGCAAAGTTTGGTTCACAGGATGGTCACAAAACACTTGCAATTTGCAAACCCTGAACATATTGCTTGAACCTGAAGTCTATCTAGGATAAGGGTCTGGTATGGAGTTTGGGGGAGGGTTGCATGCCTTTTATTGTCTTTTGTATGGGGTTTCCTCAATCCATACCAGACCCTTATCCAGGTATAGGCGTAGCAAAGAAGGAGGGGGGTCATGCTTCTAAAACATAGCAGTCCATTACTATTGATCCAAACAAAACTTGCAGTGCAGCTCTAAGCTGAGACCAACAGAGAGATCGCCCCGCTGCTTGCAGTGAAAGGAGCTGGGGTCAGTGCACCATTCAGAGGTGTAAGAGCATTGTCAAAGAGAAGAAAAGGCGCCGCTCACCGGCCAAGTGCATTAGTATGAAGATGAACGTGGCCTTGGTCAGCTCTTCTCCAGCCACGCCCCCTGACACATTTTACCCAACCTATTGGGGCTTGGTCACAGAGGCCACAATCATTGACATACTAATGCACTGGGTTGGCGAGCAGCACCTTTTCTTCTTTTTGATAAAGTCCATTACTATTGTCATTGAACTAATGCCTTCCGGATGCACCAGTCAAAGGTTGGGGTGGGCGGGCAGGCAAATTGATCAAATCTAGCCATTTAGTTCAGCGAATCACAAATGGCTTTGATTCATGGTCAGTAGTCAGATTATTGAGCTTTTATATCTTTACCTATCAAGAGCTATACTTTGTCCCTTTACTCATAATATAGCTATAAAAAACATAAAAGAGTTTTAAAGATCATAGTTCACAGTGCATTGTAAAGCCTTGCATAACAGTATTAACTAATACACGTGGCAAACTACAAAATTCAGTATCTCATTTATTGATTTTTATTCATGCAATGTAATTTAAAAATGGAGTACAACAAGCAGAAAACACACACATAAAGTATATACAAACGGTTTGAGCAAACCTTTTGAGTGCGCATCATAAATACAACACTATGAATGCGAAACAGTATATTCACAGGCTGATCTACATTTTGTGACATTTTTAAGTGACTGTTGGACAGTACAAGGTCCTGTCACTATGAAATTGGTTGTTGAAAGGACATAGGGTTCGCATGTATGTAGAGTATGGGACTCGGAAGTATCAATTATGAGTGGAGAAAACTGTTTTTTTTACAGCTTCCAACGGATTTGGTATTCCTAGATTGGACTCGGTAGTTTTGATATTTATGAGATGCTTTGGGAGGGAAGAAATCTCCAAACCAGTGTCCAGGTCTTGCCGAAGACCAGCAGGCTGAGTGTGCAAGTATGCACAACTGTTATAATGATACAATTGGTCATAATTCAGGGCTCCCGTTATGAGACAGGTGTGCTCTGTTGAGGGAACAGGTGCACTCTACCTAAAAACCAGGAGGTCTCAGGCTAGGAGATGGGGGACTTCAGATGGGTGCCAGGAGATCCCCTATTGAGAGGCCATGGGGTAGGCCCAGATAGCAAGGTACTGCAACTAAATACTGAGTGCCAGGGGAACCCAGGGAGCCAGGAGAGCTGGGTGAAATGGTCTGATGGACCAATCAAAGGCCAAAGTTTGAGGCCCAAACAGCGGTGCTGTTGAAGAGAGAGCCAGGTAGCTTAGTATAATTTTGACATTGTCTGTACTAGCCTAAAGGAGACACTGGGGCCTGAGAGAAAGATGTAGCTAGGAAGCTGAACAATTTTGTATTACTTTTTTGCAGGTTGAAACCCCTGAATGGAGAACCTGAGGTAAAGACTTTTATTTTTCCTTTTTATTAAAGGTGGGCCACCAAGCCCTAAAACAGACTCCTGAATCAGATGGACTTACTGAAACGCATCTACCACTGAACTACTAATCCCCCAGTATCACACCAGCTATATGAATGTTTGGATTGCAGTTTGCGCTTTCATCGGAGCAATCTGGGGGGAGTCTTAGTGGTTTTCAGTTTCTCAATTTATGAGTGAAGAGGGGAGAGTTGTATAAATACAGCAAGTGGAGGGCAGAGAAGGGAGATGAGGGGAAGAGAAAATAAGGAAAGGATAAGGATAAAGACAAAAGAAAGAATAAAAAGGGCGAAAGATGGATGATGGGGGCTCCAACTGCACAACTGAGCTAAGGTACAAGGACAAGTTCAAAGTTATCAGGAAGGTAGTTTTCCACAAATGAGGTCCAGATCTTTTTAAACTAATTGAATTTGCTGTCTTGTATAATGGTGAGTTTTTCTCAAAAAACATTAACATTTTTTGTTTGAATTGCTGGAAGGATTTGGTTGAAATCTGTGTTAGCAGCCAAATTTGCAATTATTACTTTGCAATTATATTTCTTGATCAGTGAAGCTTTGTAGGGGTTCTTGGTAGAGTCCATCTTAGAACTGTGCAGATGACCTGGTAAACTCGGATCCAGAAGAGTTTCACTTTGGGGCAATCCCATGTTATATGACCTTATATGACTGAAGGTCTCTGGGGAAGAGCATCACCTGAAGCAGTTCTGGGAATAAAAAGGGATTACTTAGTGTCAGTACCAGGATTCGGGTTGTCCCTTTAAATTGATATTAAACTCTCATATTAAAAAAAAATGTTGACAGGCAAGGTTTTTATAACAGAAATTGTCTTTTCTGTCATAAATGCCTCTCCCGGCCTCTCAGCAGTAAGGTAATCCTAGATATCCATGTGCAGATCAGACCACATTTAAGGCAGCCACATGTGTGCAATGATGAACATGTGTGCTGCAGTGATGTCATGGTGGCCTTTCCATTCAAGTGGCCAGACAGCATGAACCTGGAGGAAAGACCGAGCGAAAATGGAAGTCCTTAGAGCGGTGACAGCTCAGAGCTCCATTTGAAAGATAAGTTTGTCTGCTCTGTATACTAACACATTATGCCATTAACCTGCAGGAGGGGCATTTAATACCAATATCACTTTAAGACTGAGCAAAACTCAACTGAGAATGCCGTTATCTGGGAAACAATGGTTGTTGGCCAGTTTGTTTGCTCACGTTTAAAACACCTGTCTTAACACACCAACAGTTTTCATGATTGTGGATGCTACCTGGTGTTCTTCTGCTTGGGCCAGCTTTTACCTGCTCATGCATGACTCTGCTTTCTTCTCACTGCTGATTGTGTACTATTCTGCTTTTTTTACACTATGCTTCTGCCTGACCCTCCTGTGTTATCAGACTTAGGGCTATTTTATGTGGGCGGACTCCATTTGCTCAGCGGGGTTCTGTCTGCTGAATTTTACTGAGCAGGGGGATGGCAGATGACAGCTCCGTATCTGCTTCACTTGTGCAGAGTGGACATGGACACAGCCCACTGTTCTCTATGGGGTTATTGGATATAAATGGACTAGCTATCCATTTACATCCAACTGTAATCCAATCCGATCCACTAGATGGATAGAGAATGGATCCCCATCCGTCAGTTTTTAGGGGATCGGATGCAGGCATGTGTAAATGGACACATGTCTGTTTACATCCGCATTTCCATAGAGAACAGTGGATGGTCCAATCAGGTCCTCTTGAAAAATGGACAAGTGGACTCAATCAGTCTGCCCGTGTGAAAAGGCCCTTACTGTTACTACTCAGCCTGTTCTGATCTGCTCTGAGCAATCTCATTGCTGCTTGGCTTACATCTGCATCACAAGTAACAGCAAGCCTGCTTTTCCTACAGATCTGTTTATGGTATGTGTATTATTGAACTACCTGCATATTTAGCACATCTGAACTGTTGCATTCTTACCTGTACTCTTGGCCTGACACTTACTTCTGCTTCAGTAATTGGGAATAGATATAAAAAATAATGAGCAAATGAATCAGTTGCATGTTTTCATTCGAATATAATGAGATTGCCAGGGCATTCTAAATTGTTGGGAAAGGTGCCAACAAAGTGTTTAATTTGTAATTACAGAAATATTTCCCTGGATGGGATATGGTACTTTTCTCTGAATGCATTAAAAGGCATTATCTTACATCTTTTAACAAACCTTTTAAGCTTAGTTAAATTATGTTTACCACAGCAATTCCTATCCAATTGATTTCTTATAGTGGAGTAAACAATTGTACCCAAGAAACATAGCAAATTGGTAGAGGGAAAGACTATTTAGTATTTAGACTGATCTCATACTTTTAAGGAATGAGAGGATATTGAACTGGATATTGGGCTCCTGCTTGCTTTAGGTAACCATAATAGGATATTAACCTCTATTGGGAAGTAGAGGGAATTTTTTAGGGACACTCAGACTGGGGTTTCGTTGACTGCATTACCAGCACCAGTTGTGCTATCTTTACTGCCGAAATATTTTTCATCACATGGTAGATTTAAGATGGCCTATAAGGCTGGATAATTATCTTGATAAAGTGTATGGTAAAATTGGCCATAGATGAGTCTTTTTTTTCATCAACCCGTAGGTTGAACAAGCTGACCCGATTCCCCCATCCACACATCCCATTGGGCTGATGTACTTCCCTGCCATCAGAATACACTGATCATCGCTGATCGAGCAGGATTTATCCGACAGGCAGGTTTTATAGAAGTCAATTGATAGACCAACTCCTGTACAACCAGGGTTCCCATACATGGTTAGAAATGCTGAACTGGACAAATTTCAGTCCATGTACAGTATGTCCAGCTTAGGAGTAACACCTACAATAAATAGGGTCAATGGAAGTGGACCTAACAAAATGTAAAGTTACTTGTAATAGCTTCTGTGTGTTTCATCAGAGAGGAACATTTTGAACACTTGAAATTTGTGGAATCCTGAAATATTACTGATTTTCTGTAAGGTTTAGAAAAGATGCTGGAGGGAGACTGTAGGATTAGATAGTACATTTTGGACATAATGTGTGAGTATTGTCACCTTGTGTTAGTATCTCCTCACCTCCATGTAATAATTATTTTTTCATTAGTGGAGTTACGGGCTCAATTGCCAACACATCAGTGAGAGAGGGCAGCCTTGGCGTGCGCCTCTGGTAATCAGAAATGGGAATGAGCAGAATCATTTGTATTTAATAAAGGTTAAGTGTCAATTTTAAATTTTAAATATTTGACAAATGATATGTCTAGTACAAATTATATGTCTAGTGTTAAGAAAATTGATAGTAATCAAAAAATACTCAATGGAAAACAGCAGAGGAAATTAAACTATGCAAAAAAAAATGGTCTCCAGGAAAAACTTTCTCCAATTAAATTTATTGGGAGGAAAATCTGCAATTACAGATTCACTAACCTATGTATAACCTGGTGGTCAAATCTGGAATTATGTTGCAATTGTAAAAAACGATTGTATACAAGGCTCACCTTCCCAGTTTATCTGCAATCCATCCAACAAAGAATGAAGACGCTAAACCCCCAAGAGAGAATACGGATACAGAGAGGGACCAATACATAGTAACAGCAGAAGGCACAGGGGCTTCTGTTTGATTCCCACTCCTTTCCATAATCTCCAGGTCCAGTACTCTTGCATAATGTTGCTCAATAACCTGTACAAGAAAAAAGGGGACATTGGCAAACAGTTCCAAAATCAAAATCTAAAAATTGCAACGAATAATTACAACAGAAAACTTATTCTGACAATATAAAGAATGTTGCTTTGAGACATAAAAACAAATGACCAAAAAGAAACCAAATTTTATAAGTGGGGGAGATTTAGATAAACTGATAAATTGCAGCACTTTAACACATATCCCTTGGATACCTTATTCCCATAGATATTGTAGTATAAAGTGTAAATCTAAATCCAAGAACAAAAAGTGAAATATATTGCAGCTTACCAGACGTGGTGGTTGCAATAGTATTCATTTTTTTTTAGACTTTTTGTCAACTGGGTATCTTGGTTATCCTGTCACTTCTTAGGGTGTTAACACTCTCTCAATGTACTGCAACTATTGAAGAGTAGCATTATCAGCTTAGGACAAAAAGTGTGTTAGGTCCATTGGTGTCAGTAGTGCCCAGCATCCAAGGCACTTGCCCCACGTCTGTGGCGCCACTGTTCCCTGCCACTGCAGCATCTCACCCTGTCGACTGCATGTCAGAGTGATAGAATTTAGAGCCTAGGGAGGTTTTTCCTAGGCTCCTCTTCAGCTCTGGCTTGGAAGGGGGGAAACTCAGGGAGGGGGATTTGTGGTAGGAGCCATTTTGGTTGGGGGAGAAGATTTGTGCTGAGAGTAGGGATTTCAGAGGAAGACAATGATTTGTGCTGGGACACCAATTTGGGTAGTGTGTGTGAGAGTGAAAACTCGAGAAGGGGGGTAGGATTTGTGCTGGGAAAAGAGATTTTTGATGGGGGGAGAAGATTTGTGATTGGAGGTGGTGGGATTTGGGAGGGGGACAATGATTTGTGGTGGGAAGGGAGCAAAATGTGTGCCGTGTGTATGAGTGTGTGGCGGGGGGGGGGGGGGGGGAGTGATTAGTTCTGGGAGGAGGGGAAATTCTGCATTTTGGTTTGGGATAATTTTAACTTACACAGGGAATCTGTGCATGAAAGTGTGCAGCCTGGTGTTGGATTTTTTGAACCCTGCATATTGTGCTTTATTTGATCTTGACTCATGCACTGTGTGTGCTACACATTCCTGACCCCTGCACTCTGTGCATTATGTACTTTCTGACCCCTGCACTTTGTGTGTTACACAGTCCTGAACTATATACACTCTACTGTACATTACATACCGCTAACCAAAGCATACCAAAGTTGCTGGTTTTTAAAAATTCCTTGATTATTTTAATGAAATTCTTCTGTAGAGTATGCTTAGACAAAGTGTTAGAAATATGTACATGTTTTCTTATCTTAGTGAGTAAGTTATGGCTACTTCAAACATCCTGCACATGATTGGGTGTTCAAAGTCATTGTAGCTTCACCATATTCATAAGCAAAATAGAAATTCATGTTGCTTAACAAATCCTCTCTAATCCTTTAGTAAACCAGCCTGGAAATTTCCAAAGTTATGCTGTTGCATGCAGGTCCTAAGTAATGGGTGGGTCTGCTAGAGACTTACACTCACCAGCATAGGCTTTAGATAACCAGATTATCTGCTGACCCAAGCCATCACATTGTGCTTTTAGAAAGATAACAGAACAATGTGATGGCTTGAGTCAGCAGATAGGATGGTTATCTGAATACTATGCTGGTGCGTGCAAGTCTCCAGCAGACCCACCCATTACAGTATTATCCCAAAAACTACATCAAACTGCATCCACAAGTTATTGCATATGATAACCACAAACTGTATATTAATTGCTACTCTCACTCAGCTCCAATCCCAGGATTTGGAAATTTGGCCTGGAATTTTTTGTCCCTAAAAACATGATTACTTAAAGTGATATTAAAGGCATGTTTAAAAAATAACAAACATATTATACTTACCCACTCTGTGAAATGGTTTTGCACAGAGCAGCTCACATCCTCCTCTTCTCGGAGCTCCTAGCCCCTCCCTCTTGTCTGGTGCCCCCAGAGCAAGCAGGAATCCACTTCTCTGCGTCTCAGCCCTGCCACCTCTCTCCTCATTGGCTCACTGACTGACACCAGTGCAAGCCAATGGATGTTTTCAGAAGAAGAAATGTTTTTCCTCTGAGAATGGTTGTAACCTGAGAAGGGAGAAGGCTGCCTGTGATCTCATGGGATTTTGTGAGATTACAGCGCAGTCTAGTTCAAAAAGTGAAATCAAAGTTAAAAAGCAGACACAATTACACGAAAATAAACACTGAGTGCTGGCCCTTTTTAACCTGAATTTAGCACCTTCATTGCATTCTAGAGCTTTTTGTGCCATACATTTTTGCACTTTTTTTAATGTGCATTGTGGCAGAGATGTAACGCGTAGATACGCTAGTGGGAGGAGCTTTTGACGATCGGCGGCTTGACGTCATATCCGGCGCGGGCGCCATCTTGGTGCTCCGTTTTCCGACATACAGTACCCCTTGAGTGGTGTGAAGGCCTGTCTGCTTGCAGTTTTGTGTAAGTAGGTTTTTAGTTCTTTTTGGAATTTAATAAAAGGTTTTATACTATATGAGTCTCTCTTGCCTTACTGGTGACCGTGTTGGAGAGCCATACACTGGAGAGACAATACCGGTATCATCTACCATTAATGATATAGCCAAGAGGAGGGAGTTCCACCATTACTGCCGGAGGGATCCACCTGTTATCCGGAGGGACACTCAACTTATTACCCAAGGCTCATTGGTCCTTAGGGGCCTGGGCAGGAAGGTGAGGGGGTACCCCAGCTATAGAGGATTGGCACATTGCAGTTCACATCTGCATGGAATTTGTTTGATACACAAGGACACTATTCACTAAGTTATATCTATGTCACTTTAATGCATGATATCCTCATATCTGTCTGCTTCACCCCACACCGATGATATATATATTTGTGCATATGGTCTTTTGTATATCTGGGCCATACAATATTGAGTGGCTTGCATGTTAATTTTAATATAGTATTGTTTGTTTTATATTTTAGGTTTTTTAAAACGCTTTTTTGGCCCTTTTTAACTGTACATTTTGGCATCGTTTTAATCATGTATTTTGGTGCTTTTTTATAACATGCATTTTGGCACTTTTTTATGCCCATTTTGGTGCTTTGTTAACACACATCTTGGTACTTTTTAATGCACATTTTGGTGCTTTTTTAACAGACATTTTGGCATGTTTTTTTTTTGTGCATTTTGGCGTGGCTTTTAACACGCATTATGGCACAAACAGATATTTTACACAGATGGCCAGTGAGGTGCTCAAATCTCACCTTCATAAACTGTATGTGTGTATAAAAATCAATGACAGCTTCTCGGTGTGTTGTGAAGAGAAAAGGAGAACATCTTCTCTGCTCCAAATCTCAGCTTTGTAAATCACCACACATGTGAGATGAGCTGTGATATTCAACTTATCTTAGTTTCCTAAATGGACATCTTAGTCTGTTAAATATACCCATTTAAAAGCATTTTGTTTTATCCTCCTCACCCCCACCCCTTCTCCCCCATACTTACCTTCTTCCCCACTACTCCATACCACCCCCCCCCACACCCCAATCTTTGCAGTAGAATTCCTGTCCTACTCTTTACCTCTTTATAATATCCCCCCCTATACTAAAAAAATATACCACATACAAATCTTAGTGCCCCATACCTACTTCTCATACGTCCAATCTTTAATGTCACTACTATCCCCCCTATTTAACTATATGTCTTACATGTTCCTATCCCTTCAAATAACCTCGTTGTACATCTTAGTAGCTGTCTTAACCAACCTTTACCACTCTACCTGAGACACTTACACCTCATTTCCTTGCATATTAGTTCCTTATAATTGATATTTTTCCAACTCATTTGGTATTTTACTCACTATATACAGCCCCTGCTCTGGCATTTCTGCTGTTATATGTTCATCTTAAAAAGAATAATAAAAAAACTTTTGAAGGTGAAGAGCATTTAGTTTTACCTGTTAAGTGCAATAAAATACAGTTGGCCATATCCTGTTTAGGATTCATGCACAGTGGGCTTAAAAAGCAAAAACGCTCATATACAGTGTTGTCTGCTTTCTCCGCTGTAGGTGGCACCCAACCGGAACGGTATCACAGCCTGGAGTGGAAGTCAAGGGAATCTAGGCTTCTCTGTGGTTTCCTGGTCCCTGGAGGTAGCGTTCTGGTTGGCTACGCTGCATCCAGGTGAACTGTGGTGGACATCTTTGGGTCAGCAGAGTCTTTAAAAGTCCCTGCTTCCAGGTTTTGACACGCATTTTGTGAAGTTGTAGGAATAAAGAAAAAGCACCTGACTGTCAGGGAAAGTGATAGCGGCAGGAAAAGGTTCCTGATGAGTAGGGACAGACTAGGGACTCACAATCCATACCCTAGTCTCCCTTTTGGGACTGGACCAGCTATAACTCATATGAGCACTGAGTCCCATCTTCCAGCTCACCACCCTGCCATGCTCAGCAGCTGTATTTGTTGCACCTGTGCAAAGCTCCATTTGTCTATGAACCAAACAGCCATGCATACATGGTGGAGATAACTACAGGACAGACATAAGCATACGGGGGGGGGGGGGGGGGAGCACATTCTTGTAAACTTTTCTGACTGCTGATGTCTCTGCCTGTGCTTTACTTCACTATGTCTCAGTGACAGCTCCATTCATCTACAGAATTGAATGGAAAATCTCCTAGGTGCACCATTGTATGTAAGAGGCATAAGAAAGGCCCACATGGTCACCTACGAGATGTAGCTCACTGTTTTTCTGAACAGGACTTTATTGTACCAGCAAAATCACTTCAATGGGCTCCTTCAATCAAATAAAAGGTTTCAGATTTGGCAAGAATGGGCAAAAAAATAAAGTTGAGAGTGATAATAATTTGTAATCCTGTCATTTGGCAGAAAATCATGGTTTGCCTGCAGACCACTAATGATTGCCAAAAAGCCTGAAACAGCTGTATACAATTTGAAATAAACGATAGGCTGTGGTTGGCAAAATAGCAAGGAAATGATTTGCATAACTCTACCCACTGTGCTAAAGTAATATTTTGGCAAAAGAGTAGTGTATATTTAGAATAGACCTTCACCAGAGGTAGTGGGTAAATCAATATTAAGTGAATTCAAAAATGCTTGGGATAAATATAGGTCTATAATGGGACAACAATGAAGAAAAAAAAAAAACTCGATGGACCACTTGGTCTTTTTCTGTCTTCACACTTCAGTGTTTCTAAAATTCTAGAAGCTAAAATGACTTTGAGGCACTGTTCACACTCTTGCAACTTAGGAGCTGACTTTTGAGATCAAAGTTGCAGGACATGTGAAATGCCATGTATCTCAATGAGAGCCATTCCACTTGACACCACTGAAGTTGCTGCAACTTCAGAAAAGGTTCCTGCACTACTTTGATGTGACTTTGATACTTCTTCAGTGCCACAGATTGTAAAAGACATATCAAAGTCACAGCAAAGTCATATCAAAGTCAGACTCCAAAGTCGCACTGAAAATCGCTGGCCTTTGGAATCAGCTAGTGTGACCGAGCCTGAATGTTGAAGGAAAACAGCAATCATCTTAAACATAATTCAGAGTTTACAGGTTTTCCAATTTAATTAGAAGAATCTCTTCATTCCTTAATCCTTGTTGTCAAAAATATTCTTCATTAGGTTTGTCATTTTCATTTAAAAATGAATTGGCTTTTTGTACACAATAAACAGCCTGCTTCCAAATGTTATGAACATGTTCTGTAGAATAGTGAGGTTCTTCAAAGCAGTATGTAGCCCATGGGCCAAGGAATCAGCTTCCATGCATACTATTATAACCAACTGCAACTCTTCATAATATTAGAACAGAATATATGGAATAAATATTGCATTATACCTTCTGTGGTGCATTAATGACTCCAATGCCATATCCAAATTGTAGAGAACCCAGAACGGCCGTGAAAACTGCAAAGATGAGGGTTCCGGTCAAAGTCTACAGGAACACAACAGGAGACAAAAGATGTTATTTGGAATTATAGGGGTTGTAAAATTTGTTAGACATGCAGTATTCTGCTTTTTCTGTTTCTAAAGTAAAGAGTTAACAGAAACATAAATGTAATTAAATCAGATAGTTTATGATTTTGATATTATTCATGGGGTCATGGTTATGCTGGAAAATAAAGGTAGCGTCAATCAGATGCCTCTGAAATGGTAGTGCATGTTGGTTTAGAATTTTCCTATATACAGTATTTCAAGAGTGCGGGTGCCAACAACTGCCTGCTGCATTCCATGGCAGACCCCTGAGTTTCCTATACTCAAACTTGCCAGTCTATTTGTGCTTCTGCAGAAAAGCTTGGATAGCACATTTGGAAACACCTCTCATAATTTAAGACTCAAAAAAATCTGGCATTTGATCTACTGGAAATTCAGATTTTAAGTCTTCTGCCTCAATCAACAATGCTCATACCTATTGATTGGATCATTGTGCAGGGTAGGACATCTGACTGTTGTACTCCGTGTAAGAGCAGTGGTCCAGATCTCCAGCGTTCTTTTGACACAGGGCAGTTCTAAAGTACTAAGAACTAAAATGACATATTCTTTACTTTTTCAGCTTAACTGCATAACAATAATTAAAAAACAAGGCTTCAGATGGGATTTAACTGTTCTGAAGCTCAAGTGTAATCATAATATTTATAGGCTGCAAAGGAATGTACATTGACTAGTCATGCACATCAGACAAGAGCAGACCACCAGCAGAAGTCATATCTCGGGCATTTGCACAACTTCCAATTCAGGTAAGAACCTTTTCCCTAGTATAGTGTTTTCCTAAAACAGTCCAGTCACTGTTGGCATGTCAAAATGATGCATTGGGTAATTATCATCCTTTGTCTAGAATCAAATTAGATGAATACCCTGTACATCCAGTAAATGTACATATTTTATCATTACTACCAGGGATGCAATTCTATTAAGATAAAAATATCTACTATTGTAAAATAACATAAATGTTGTTCTTAATGTTTTGCTAGTTGTGTAATAGACCATGTTGTTTGCATGTCAGTTATTACATTGAGCTTTAACAGTCTGTTGTATGATTTCTTTTGTTCTATTATTTCTGACTGAAACATAAGTTTCCACGTCAAGGCAATTACAATTACTAACCACATTTGCCAGAATACATCATCTCCCCAATACAGCAAAAGAAATTATATCATTTGGATTCCTAAAAATATAAACCTTCTATGTAAAAACATGTATGATGGAAATTTATTTTAAATCATTGTTAATTTATCAATTAATGATAACTTTCCTCACTTTTTGAGCACGCACATTCCAGCAAACAATGGCACATGAAATTCGTCACTAAAGCCTGGTCCATGGTTACAAGCAATACACAAAATGAAAGCTTTGCTTGAGATGATCAGGTGACAATCAGGCCATGTAGGATTTTCTTACAGGAGGATAACAAGCACTTGCAATAAGCAACTTGATATATAATGAAGATATTTTTCTTCATTGTGGAACAATGAAATGAAAGATAAAAGAGTGATAGGCTGGTACATGGTAAATGTCTCCCCACATTTAATGAAAAAGTATTTCCCTTCTTCAAGTAACCTAAATGACTCCATTATAGAGATGTTGTTTAACCCATTAGAAAATCTAGAAAAAAATAGAAAATGTCATAGTCAGTAGCATTTTTTATTGGCCTGGTACTTGCCCAATTTTGATTGGTCTTGAATAAAAATTAAATAAAAGGGAAATGAAACCAGCTTTAGGGCTCATTTAGACTTGCGGTTGGGGGTAGGGGCCATAAAAATGCACAGATAAGATGTATTTTTTACTCCTGCCTAATCAACCCACCTTAAATGGCAAAGGCAGCGAAAGGGGTTCATGTACTGCAGTTGTGATGCTTTGCACCCATAGCAAAATGCATCCAGCCTTTTGTGAAGGGTAGTAGCATTTCCAATCCTGACCAATTCAAGTGTTGCAGCAAGTTGGTGAGGCACCATATTGTCTCCTCACTGCCTGTCAAAGGATTTTGAAGAGCAATTGGAATATGGATGAAGGTGCGGCTATTTAACAACATGTAAACTTAGCCTTAAGGAGAGTCACCTGATGTTTTTCTGGAGGCAACATCAATACTAATTGAACTGCATTTAGTGTTACAATACCTGAATTAGCAGGAGTCTCTGTCTGAAAGAATGTTGTTATAGATTTCCATATGAAAGACATGAGCTAAATGTAAACAGTCTTAATAATCTATTTAAATACTTTAAAAACCCCTTTTTTGTATATAGTTTGTAATTATACTGAATATGTACATTGGGCCATATTGTCTCATATGAAGCAGGCTTCACTAAAGGTAGCCATATACCAGTTATTTTTTGTTGTTGTTCAACCAATGGGTTGAACACATTGATTATGTTGATGGGGCAATCCCTCCTGCTAAGTCTGGGGCAATCCCTCTTGCTGAGCCATTTTGACAGTGGGGAGATATTCAGAATACACGTATCAGCACTGATACCGAGGGAGAATTTTTCCACAGGCTGGTTGTACACAAATTGACCGATAGATGTACCTGCCCATACATGGATCAAAATTTGTCCACTCTCTGCTGAACTGGCTGAATTTCCATCCATTGTGTCTCATGGATAACTATTGTCTTATTAAAACAGTACTCTGTGCAGCCCCTAATGATATTAAACATTAACAATACATCAGAGAAAGTGACCCAATGAAGCTTTTTTTTTTTCATTCCAGGCAAGAAAGAGGTGCTTTTTTATGCAAAAAATATAAATAAAATAAAATGTAATTATGTTATGTTGCCTGAGAACAACAACTTAAAGTACAACTAAAGGTAAAACTTTTTTTTTTTTTTAGTTTTTGATAGAGGGCATGTGTCCCTGTTAGGGAGGTTCACCCTCCCGTTTGTCCTGTTTACCATTATTATTGAAAGTTAAGAAAATCTTGTATTTTGAGTTGTCCCCAGAAAAGAAAGAGGGGAAATCTTCCAATGGGGACACTGGTAATGGAGACCTGGGGGAATTCCCTTAACTTGCAGGGATTTCCTCCCTCTTCCTGTTGGTTATGGGACAGGAAGTGAAGGGAAATCTCCCCAATGGGATACAGATGGCAAAAAAAAAAAAATCTGACAGGGGTTATACTCTCCCTTCCTCTATCCAAAAATGAAAAAAAGTTTTACCTATAGTTTAAAGCCACAACAGTAAAATCAGTCTGTATATGCAGTAAAGTATGCTTGCTCTACTCACTGTGGAACCTAAGGGGTTAATTGTGTAAAAAGGCTGTTTGATCCTGACTTCTCTGTCCCTCCTCTTGTTCAAATGGCCACCTGATTAGACAGACTGAATTCATAGCCCTTCTGCACATGCTCAGTTTTAGTGTGTATTGCTAGACATTTTTTTTTCTTGGGAGAGGGCATGTGATCAGCATAGGGCCAATCAGCACTGTCCAGACAGAGGTCAGGGGTTCTGCATCCTCTTAGACCAGAAAGAAAACTCCTCCTTCAAGCTTTAACCAGTGCTCTGCTGAAGTCACAAGAATGCTCTAACTGCTGATGATCAAAGGTATTTAGCAGTTTATATTTACTAAAATAATTGCATTTCCGTGTTCTGTGTACTGTGGGAGACCAGATATAGTGAATGCAGGGTCTGGGGTTTAGTAACACTATAAAGTTAAAAACATTAACTGTAAAACATTGCAGCTTGCTATTCCTTGTGTTAGCTGCCTTAATTTTCTTTCTTAGACTTTTCCCCTTATCTTCACCAAGTAATCCTGCAAACAACACATGTCTTGCACTGATGAACCAAATCTATCTCACTGTATTATATCTTTAAAGGAGCAGTGTTGTCGCCCCTGGACAGGAAGAATTTTAAAGCTACAAAACATCTCCTCTTCTCCTTGTCTCCATAACATAGGGAGATATTCTGTAGTCCACAAAAAGTGCTATTAACCATGATAGCTGGTGACAGTCAGGAAAGGCAAAGAGCACAGGAAGTTATCAGCTCACAAGTTTTTTTGGCAGGATCAACAGTCTTTTTTTTTTTTTTTGCAGTAATAGAAAAGATTTAACAAAACAATTTCAATGGTATATTTAACAGACCATAAATTCAAAAATAGGAGAAGATCATTCAAAAAGGTTACATAAACTTTAAAATCTCCTTTTTGGTCATATAAAATTTATACTAAGGAAAATATGTAAGCTGTCATTGCTGACCTCCTTTCTGAGTCACAAAGAAGTCAGAACTCCTAATCTGATAGCCAAGCAACTAACATTTTCAAAAGGAGAGGTCACCAAAGCTACAGTGAAGGAAATAAGTATTTGATCCCCTGCTGATTTTGAATGTTTGCCCACTCACAAAGAAATGATCAGTCTAAACATCAAATGGTAGGTGTATTGTAACACTGAGAGACAGAATAGCAACAAAAAATTCAAAAGAAATGCATGTCTAACAAATGATGCACTGATTTGCATGTTCATGAGGGAAAGAAGTATTTGATCCCCCATCATTCAGCAGGATTTCTGGTTACCAGGTGTCTTTCATACAGGTAACAAGCTGAGATTAGAAGCAGTCTCTTAAAGGGAGTGCTGTTTATCTAATTTTGTTAGCTGTATAAAAGACACCTGTCCACAAGAGCAATCATACAATCAGATTCCAAACTCTCCACCATGGCAAAGACCAAAGAGCTGTCCAAGGATGTCAACATTGTAGACCTACACAAGACTGGCTACAAAACTATCGCCAAGCAGCTTGGTGAGAAGGTGACAACAGTTGGTGCAATAAATTCGCAAATGGAAGAAACACAAAA